ATGAGGTCTGAGAATAAGTACTGGACTTAGCAATCTGGAAGTCACTGGTGACTTTGAAAAGTGATGCAAGTAGTATTACCAAAGTGTAGTAAATAGAGAATATAAGGGGAAGAAAACACACAGTAAGTACAGGCTACTCAAGAAATAAAGAAATTCTTTTTCTTTTTGTCTTCTTTTGTTTTTTTAGTTGATGGGTTTGTAAGATGGAAAAAATTATAACAGGCTTGTATACTGAGAGGACTACTCTAGTAGTCAGAGAAAAACTAATGATGCAGAAAAGAAACGCTGAGGCAATGTAGGTGGGAGGGAAGTGGATCTAGCTACAAGTCAAGGCAGGCCAGAGACAAGAGAACAAACAGTTCCTCTGAATTAATAGGACTAAACAGATGCAAGTAGGTGGGCAGAAGTGGTGGTGGGAACTTACTGAAGTTCCCTTTTGACTGCTTGTTTTTTTGTTTTTTTTTTCAGTGATAAAGGAAGTATCGTTCACAAGCTGAGTATGAATAAAGGAAAGTGTATAGCAAATATGAGGAGACTAAAGAAATGGTTATCTAGGAAAGTGTTCATTCTTCTTTGGAACTCTAAGCCCAAATTTAGTCTTGTTCCCTTATCTTCTATCCCTGCTCTACATATCAAAATTTACCTTATTTAACTCAGTTCTTTTCTTTAGGCTCTTCTGCCTTAAAGATCCCTGCTAATTTAGACAACCCGTAGAATTTATTCTTACAATTCTGATGTTACAAACTTCTAAGTTCAGGCAAACTCTTAGACTCCAGGCTCATTTACAACGGCCTTCCTCCAAGTCAAACAGGATTAGCCACACTGCCATCAAGTAGGGTCATGATACTCGGGTTTCTTCTTTGATAGCTGCTAGCTGCCTCAGTATTCTCTAATCCCACAAAGATAAATCATTAGACGCTGTCCATATATGATCAAACAATTCAAGAACATACTCACTGCTAGTTAAAATTTATATTCACAGACTGAAACTAGAAGAAGACTTGAAGGTTTCCTAATCCTGTATAGCAAGATCTCATTCCATCATCATTCTGCTATTAATTTGACATCAGTCAAGTTCAGTCACCTGCTTCAGAAAACCAAAGCTTAAGAACAAAACAAGCAAATAACTTAGATAAGGCCAGAGAAACAAATAAAAGCCAATACAATTTATCCTAGGAAAACAAAATTGGTTTAATATCTAAAATTAATTAATATGATACATTCTATTAATAGAAAAAAGGACAAAGAACAAAAGATTGTCTTAGTCTTAGAGGTAGGAAAAACAGTTGGCAAAATCTAACACCTTCTCAGGATAACAACACTAGACAAACTAGTAATATAAGGGACTCAATCAATCTGATAAAGGGCATAAAAACTAAATGCTGTCCCCTAACATCAGAAACAATACATGGATGTCCATGTCCTTTGCCATTTTCATACAACTATGTATTGGACGTTCTACTCACAGCAATTAAAGGTAGAGGAAAAAACTTGGGTTGCAAAGAAGTAAAATTATCTCTTTGACCCTTCCTAGTGCTAGGACTACAGGTGTATGCCACCACATCCAACTAGGAGAGTGATCTTAAAATTTATGTAAAAATTCAAGGGACTCAGAAAACAAAACAATTTTGAAAAAGAACAAAATTGGAGAACTCACTTTGCTAACTTCAAAACTTAACCACAAAGCTACACTATTTCAGACAGATTCTATTATCACCAACTGAATTAAAAGTTCAGAAATACACTCTTACATTTAATGACCAGTGCAGTGAGGCCAATAATAGTCCCATTAATAAATGGTGTTGTAATACCAGTTATCCAACATGTAGAAGAATGATGTTGCACCATTAACACCATAGGCAAAGCTTTATACAAATGGATCATAGGCTTAATAGACCTAACATTAGTAAGACTCTTACAACACATATGAATAAATCTTTACGATGCTGGATTAGGTAATGACTTCTTAGGTTATAATAAAAGCACAAACCATAGAATAAAAGGTAGATAAACTGGACTTGATCAAAATTAAAGAGTTTGTGTTGCCAAGAAATTGAAAAGACAAAATGTTTGCAAATAATATACTTGATAAGATAACCGATATGTAGAATAGGAATTAGGAATACCTATCCAATTACAAAATAGGCAAAGGATCTTAATAAATAGTTCTTCAAGAGATTTAAAAATGGCCAATAAGTACATGAAAAAATACTCAACATCAATAGCCATCAGGAAAAGGCACACAAAAACCATAATGAGGTACTATTTCACAGTGATTAGAATGGCTATAGAATGACAAATGCTGGTAAAGATATGAAGAAATTTTATACATTGTTGTTGGGAACATAAAATGGGGAGCCACTCTGCAGTTTCCCAAAATGTTAAATACTAGAGCTACCATATGGCTAGCAATTCTACTCCTAAATACTCAGGAGAAACGAAGGCATGCATCTACAGAAAAGCCTACACACACACTTTTTCATATCAGTATTCTAGCCAATAAGTAGGAACAGTTCAACTGATAGATGGATAAAAAGTGGTTTACCCATAGAATGGAGTATTACCCAGCGAAAAAATTAAGGCAGTACTGATACATGCTACAACATGGATGAATCTTGAAACTTTACACTAAGTGAAAAAGATCCACTTAAAAAAGATTACATATATACTCTGTAAGAAAAGCTGAGGATAGAACAATCTTTATAGATAGAAAATAAGTTAGTGGTTCTGTAGGGTTCATAGCCTGAAACAGGTTTGAAGGGCAGTTTGGGGGTTAAGTGTGACTGCTAATGATTATGGGAAACTTTTTCTTTTTCATTTAAAAAGTTGTAACTTTCAAAGAATGGCTTTCACCCCAGATAGCTCACTTGAGATGTTAGTAAGAATTGCCTCCTCAGTATTCTATAGCCATGATGAGGAGGAGGCCAAGGA